GTTAGGGTTAGGATTAGGGTTAGGGTCACAATGCACCAAAAAAGTTTTATTAAAACAGGAGTATTCAGGCACGTGATTTGTATCAACCAATGGGATTTGGGAGGTATGCAGGCCCTAGCTGCGAGTCTCGAGGTAGCGCCGGACAGAGGACAGAGTGCTCAAAAGCCGGACTTTTGGCCACCCTAGTCAAGCAGGAATGGGAGGCTGAGTGGGAGAAGGCTGCATGGAAGGATTACAAAGAGCACACGGAAGGAGGAGGCTGAGAGGGAGGAGGGGGAGGAGGATATTATTATTAACAATATTAAAGTTCCTCAAAGAAATCGTGTACCTGCTTTATATATGGGGCTAGCTTTAGATTTAGGCAGGATAAGTCTTAGCTTGCTTCTAATGGTAGCTTTCCCATTTACCTATAAAACGAAAGTTTCAGTGACGCAAAATGATGTTGTTTAAAGACATTTTCCTAATAGTAATACTGTATCGACCAAAGACAATTTCCAACGGCAACGGCTTTAGAAATTCTAGAATAATTCGAAAGAGCACAAATTGAAATTGCATTACATAACTAGTAACGCATGCGCAATTAGGCCTACACACTTTTTGTTGCTCGTCATTTGTTAAATTCCTAGAAAGGTGCTCTAGATACTCAATCTGCCGCAATTTCTTCCGCAACTTTCGTATCTCAAAGTGAGAAATATTAAATTCGTCATCTCCCATATCTTCCATGGGGGCGGCCATTTTATAAAGTGCGGTGACTTGTAAAACACGGAGAGAACGTTAATTACTTTCTCTTCTCGTACAATTTACTCGTTTCTGTTCACAAAACAAGGAAACCCACAATAACCACAATAGCTATAATTCTATACGTTATCTTCTCATTTAAAAAATCTAGGCAAACAATGGTTTTCCGTATCTAAAGTAAACTTTTACAGTTGACCGCTGGCTCAGGGCCGTCTGTAGTGTTCATATGTTGGTTTAAATAGCGTCTTGTGCTGTTTGTCTCTCAGGTTTCTACTGATAACGGCCTGTTTGACTCTCAGGAGTTTGATATTAGTCGCTACCGCCGCTGAAGAGACCATTAACAGTCGCTATTACAATGCTTTTCGAATGATTATGATCATGATTAGAACGTCGTATTTCATCAAAAAGCACGCTTGAGGGCACCACCGGTTAGGAATTGCCTCGTCATGAGAGCTAGTGGAAATATTATAGGTAAGTTAACATTGTTTTACACAACCTCACAAATATTGGTCTTCAAAGTCCAAGGGACTATATGTATTGAAGACGGAAAGAGGCAAAGTTGATCAAGTAGACAGATCAACACTGCAGGTCGCAGCAGAATAAGCTTCAAATTTGCAATTGACTAGAGATCATGAAGGGAGAGAATTCGGCCCAAGGAATTGAAGGATAGAGAACAAGGGTCCCAATAAAACCAACGCAGTGGCTGGAGGTACGGTAGCCGTCGGTCGTTCAAGCCCCTTTTTTGCGTTAGGGTTAGGGTTAGGGTTATGATTAGGGTTAGGTTTAGGGTTAGGGTTAGGGTTCTAGCTCATCTAAACTCTCAAATCGTGAATTTATTTCCCAATGCGTTATTTCGAAATCTAGCGCCACCGCCGCCATCTTTGTCTTGTTAAGTATGAAAGCGAATGAACTCCCGTACCCGTAGCCTCGAGACATTAAGATACGGCTACCGTACCCGTAGCCACTGCCTAAAACCAATGTGCCTAAACCTAACCCCCTAATCCTAATGCTAACCCTAACCCTAACCCTAATCTATTATATTGAATGATATAATATATTTATATTGATGTAAATGACATTGGTTTTATTGGGACCCGCTTACATTAACTGCGGCTGGCCAGTTAATGTAAGCGGGCTATAGTACTACTACTACTATTAGAGCTAGCTCTGTTACAATTCTTGTATCTTGGCTCCCTCTTGTATTTCACAAGGCACTTGATGCATCGAAGTGCGGGGATTCTCTAGAGAAAAAGGAGATTAGTGCCGCCTCTAATTCTCTAAATATTAGAATAGAATAGCGGTTTACAGGAATAGGCCCAAGGGCCTGTATCCGGTCTAATTAATACATCCAGCCTCAATTTTTTTAATAGTCCCTCGCGATAGTCATTCTAAACATCATTGCGAGCGGTCGTGGTATTGTAGGTATTAATATTATGAGTATACGTCAAAAATTCCCATTGTATACATTTACATCATTTGATCAGATCATTACATCATTAATATGTGACTAGTTAAGGTAGTCATATTGTAGCTCTAGTAACTATAGCCCGCGTACAGTTGCCGCTGGGATATAGAACCAGCCATTAGGGATGTGCAGGACCAACTTAGTCGCGCTAATTCGCGGCTATAAAACGTCTGTGGTAGGCAATTAATGCCTCTTATCCGAAGTGAATATGCCTTAAGTTATATCAGCTAGTACTAAAATTTAACCTCTAACTATCGTTGAAATGGTCTACTTGCGGTATTTCTGGTGAACGAACATTCAATTTGCGAACTTCAAACGGCCATTTTTGGCGGCGCTGCAGCAGGCCAGCAGCGCCAGTGAGCGGGAACTATGTATTTCCGCACGTGGAGGGGTGGGCGGGTTGGGTTGGTTGTGGACAAAAACATTGTTGTTGTCAAGTAAAAAATTAAGCGATCAAAAAAGATTGTAATATTAGTTTTGTCATGAAAGATGAACAAATTACTATTATTAATTTGTTACTTGACAACAACAATATTTTTGTCCACAACCAACACAACCCGCCCACCCCTCCACGTGCGGAAATACATAGTTCCCGCTAACTGGCTGGAGTAAGTTGGTCCCGAGCATTCGTAACGGCTGGTCCTATAGCCCAGCGGCAACTGTACGCGGGCTATAGTTACTAGAGCTAGTCATATTGCAGGTGGGACCAGTGCCTGTCAATTTTGTTTTTGAATTCATTTATCGTTTTTGATATGACAATTTCTTCGGGCAGGGAATTCCAATCGCTAACGGCTCTAAATCTAAATGATTTCTCTTCTTGTTTTCGTCCTTCACTGTTATGGTCGGAATTAATTAAATTCTACCTTCGTTTAATATTTCGGTAAGTTCATAGTAGATATCGTCGAGTGGGGAGCTCTGTGGGTTAAATTTCCATACATGTTGTTGTACAAACTGCCTGTTGCCATCGTAATCTACATTATGGTATTTGATTACTTTTCGTGGCGACTGTTGGTTAAACTCGATGTAGCAGTTGATGTTAATGAGCAGTGATGCATGGTGACTGTGACTGATGGGTGCAGAGAAGTCTATGTCATTAATCATGTTGGGTTTATTTGATATTACTAGGTCTATTTGTGTAGGTGTTTGACCAGGTCTGTAGTGTGTAGATCGATCTACATGTTGTGTTAGGTACAGATCATTTATTGCCTTATAAAATTTCGAAGCTGGGTGATTTTCACTGGCTCTACATCTGTTAGAATTCCAACAAATTTTTCGAAAATTGAAGT